CTGTATGGTTACTTGTCAGTCGGAACCCACTCGACATCAAGCTCCATGGGAAACCAAGGGAACCCAGGGTAGCCTTTACTCCTCAGCACCTGGCACAGAGCCTAGCACAGGTGTTACATCTGTATGATGGCAGCATGGGCAGTGGGGCAGAAGGATAGGTGGCCAACTCTGAGATTCTAGGTCCATGATTCTAATCCAAAGTCTGGATCCCTGGCTTCTGTCTGAGGGAGGCTGGATCTGAACGTGGTTTCAGAACGTAACATGAACAGTTAGTTCCTAGGGCTAACGGGGCCCCAGGGTGTGCCACACGTACCTCCTTGTCCATGGGGATCCTGAGTTTCACCACTTCATACTTCTCACCCTCATCCTCCTCACCCTTCACCAGCAGCACCATCTCCTCTTTCATCTCTTCCTCCTCCTTCTCCTCCTCCTCCTCCTCCGTCTGCTGTTCTCCAGGCATCTTGTTGTCCTGGGGCAGGGAGCTGCGTCAGAAGCTTGGGACCCACCCCCGCCAAAGATGGCCCTGGCCCTGGCCAAAGACATGGCCTTGGTTTCTCCTGGCCAGCCCTGATCTCTGGGTCTGGCCTTCTCCCCTCCACCCCAACCCGGCCCCAGGCCCTAGCACTGCCCCGGGACTAGCTTCGAAGACACTCGTCACCCCACTCATCGCGGCATTCAAGGCCCTGAACAGTTGGAATCTCCAGCCCCACCGAGTCGCAACCCTCCCCAGCCCCCAGACCGCGCTGAGTCACTCCCCTGCGCCAGGGTCGGAGGCCCGGGGCTCTAGGGCACGGGCTGCAGGCGGGGTTAAGGCGGAGACCCTGAGGCTGCGCACTTACCAGGCGCAGGATCGGCGCTCTACCTGCCCAGATCAGGGCGCCGGGCTGTGGGACACTCTGCGAGGCCGCGGCTCCGGGGGCGTAGGGGGAGGGGCCTCGGAGACGGCCGGTCACTGGTCAGAACGCACAACCCCGCCCCCGAGGAGGTGTGGCCCAGAGGACCCAGGCGTCCGGCCCCAGCTGTCCCCAGAGGGTACTGAGCACAGACCTGGCGCCCTCTGCTGTTCCCCAAGTTCCAGGGACCTCGGGCAGTTCCATCCCGGCGTTTCAAGGTCCTCGCAGCCCGGTTGTAACCTACCTTCAAGACTCGTCTCCTATGGCCGGCTCGGAGGTCTCCACTGCAGCCAGGCGCTTCTGCTCCTCCCGAAATAGGCCACGTGCGCTCCCTCCCTGGCCTGGGCCTCTCGCTGGCGCCCCGCCTGGAGGGCGGACCCTGTTACCTCCTCACCTCTTTCTTTCCTTTTTTTCCTCTTCCCCCGGCTTTTCTCCATCTATCGCGCGTCGTCTTCCCGGTCTCCCGCTCTCTGGGCTAGCTTGCGCATTGAATACTTTCCAAATCGATAGCCACCCAAACTACCGCTGCGGCTTATTGTGTGGCATGCCTACTGTGCGCCAGCAATATGCTAAGCGTTTTACACTGCTCATCCCTTTGATCCGCACAAAGGTGGGTCCATTTTACAGATGGACTAATTGGAGTTCAGAGAGGTAAATTGATTTGCCTAAATTTTACATAAAGTTTTTCATAGCATCCCTGACAACTGGTAGCTTAGGTGCAAAATTAGGGGCCCACGGGCCAAATTCAGTTCATAAAGTATCTTGTTTGGCCCTCAGGGTATTTTTACTTTCAAAAATTGGTTTAAGAAAAAAGATCTTTTACAAATTTTAATTTCTAACGTTTAAACATTGGGGTATTTCTTATAAAGATCTGAATTTCCCACTTGATCTGAAAAAGATAATCTAATTCTCCCATTGTATGAATGGGGAACAGATTGAGAAGTGAAAGAAAGAAATAACAGTAAGTGCTTACAGTCCCTACCACAGTCTCTACCACAGTCCTGTGCGAATCAATCATATTACCTCCCTGTGACAAATGACAGAACTACAGCTTAGACAGTATAAGTAATTTGCTCAAAGTCATGTAGCTGGTAAGTAGTAGATTTCTAAGCTCATGCTTTTTCTCTTGCACCAAGTTACAGAACAGAAATGAGGTTACAATAGGAAATTGGTGGTAGAGCCAGGACTCAAACCTGAGCCTCAGTCCACAGAGCCCAGGGCATAAATTGGATGTTGGGATTACATCTTGTCAAACTTTTGCTCTTCCCTAGAGCTGGGAAAAGGGGGTAAATGCCTGGATACTCACACTCAAGATCTCCAACAGTCACTTTGATTGTGTTCATTCTTTAAAGTATTTGTTGAGCCCTACTATGTGCCTGGCACAATTCTAGGTGTTGGAAATGCTGTACTGAACAAAACAGACAAAAATCATGGCAGCTATGGTGTTTCTAAGTGTAAAAAATGTAAAGAAGTTAAGACAATTTCAGATATGATAGGTGCAAGAAGCAAACTGGGCAAAATCGTGCAGTAAGGAGTGACTGTGGTTGGGGGGCTTCTGAAATGTGAGCAGAGAAGACACCTCCAAGGAAATAATATCTGAGATGAAACTTGAATGATACGAAAGGGTTAGCCATTTGAAATCTGGAGGAAAAGTGTTCCAGACAGGTAGAGGCTTTAAGGTGAGAATAAGCTTGGCATGTTGAGGAACAGAAAGAAGGCTGGAGCCAAGTGGGTTAGTGAGGGAAAATACAATGTGGGAATGGAGGAGAGGTAGGCAGGGGCCAGATTATGGCTGGAACCCCACTCCTGGCAAAAGGAAAGGCCTTCTTGCCCTGATTCAGAGAATGAGTGAGGAGACTCAGCTGGGAAAAATGGAAATCCTGCTGGAAGGGCCTCCTGCTGTGTGAGGACTAGGGAACAGATTCTTGTGAAAGGAGGAAAAGGACTCCATCCATTTGCTTTACAGACGTGTACAAGTATTTACCTGGAACCAGATCTAGTTTCTGTTCTTGAGAATCTCATAGTCTAGTAAAGAAGATGGTGATTATAAAAAATATATATATATATATACATACACACACACACACATATATATATTTATGAAAAGGAAAGCAATAGGTGTTCTGGCAGGAGAATACAGGAGTGGGATGAGTGAATTACTGAATAACTCTCTTGGAAGGGAGTGGCTATTGGGTGCAGTCCTCTGTGAAGAGATAAATGTAAAGGATCTTCAAAGATGTGTAGGAGTTTGCCAGATTGACAAGGAGGTAGCTGCGTGTGGGATTGTAAATCTTAAAAAGAGCATATCATGTTCCAAGGACACTTCACCAAAATATTTAGTGAGGCCTGTTGTATGCCAGGCTCCTGTTAGGACTGAAAAGTAGTTGAATTTGGAAAAGTCTTTATCTTACTCCTCATTACTCTGCCTTTCACTATTTGCCTTTCACCTCACTAGAACTTTACTTCAGTTCTTGAATCCCCAGGGAAGGTGCCTACTCTTCATTCTGCACAGAACATGCCTCCCTTCCCATCCCCCACCTCCTCCTTTCTTAGCTTACTCCAAGTCAATCTTTAGGTCTAAACAAAATTGCCACCCTTTGGACAGGTTTTTGGGTCAGTTAGGATTCTCTCCTGCATGTATGCTTCCTGCATAGTCCTTACTACACTTGTAACGATTTGTTCAATGTCTATCTTCTGCAGGAACTGAAGGCAGAGACTTTGTCTTATTTTTATTCTTTCCACAGTACATAGCACATCGTCGGTAATGCTGTAGAGTAACTTACTATCCTCAAAAACCTCTTGATGTGTTAAATGCTCAGATGAAGGGTGTTCTAACCCAGACTGGAGGTTCAGGGAAGGCTTCTGGGAGGAATGCTGGAGTTGTTTTGACTAGAGAGATTAACAAGTGTGTAGCTGTGTGGGAGTGTGAGGGTTGCATTCTGAAAAAAGAAACAAAACATTTAAAGAGGCACAGAGCTGAAACCGCACAAGTGGAAGGCCTTGAATGCCAACCAAGGAGTTCCGTTTTACCGAGAAGACATGGGGGAGATACAGCAGGGTTTTCAATAGGGGAGTAACACAGATTTATTTTACAAAGTTCACTGCAAGGCTGGGTTAGAGGATGACCTGGTAGGTAGGGGAAACACGGAATCCAGCAGGGGAGGGTTTACCAAAAGCCCCAAAAGGCCTCCATTCAGGACTATGGGCGTGTGTATACTTCTGCACTGAAGCCGTGAACCATCCAGACTTGAACTCAATTCCAGGGTTTCGAGTTGCCTAAATGACTTGGCAGGGATGGGAGCAAGGGAGGAACCTCACTGTAGCAAGCTTTCATTGATTTCTAGGGAAGCCCGTCCGATGGCTAAGATCTCACGAGGGCTTCTATCGGGGACTGTCCCGCAGTAAATGAGCTGAGATGCCCAATCCACTAAGCGGCAATGCAATCTTGTTACTTCGTTTCTTGCGTGTGCTAACAGCCCTAGTCTTTTTTGTTTCTGGCCAATCAGGTCAGCGCCTCTCCCTTTTCTCCCCATCGGCGCCCTCAGAAAAAGCTAGAAATTGGAGGCCTGCACCTAATAACGCATGGGTCGCTGGGAAAACATGGTCTCCTTTTCTAGGAGAGTCATCCCCTTTGCCCTCTCTTTGGGCTGTGTAGCCAAATGACCTGTTTCTCAACTAATCAAAAAGGGCCTCAGGGAGGCGTGGTTTCCCAGTAGAAAGACCCTCAGCTTCCAGGCCTTCTGCGACCATACCAGACTCGCCGGCCACATTTCTCCCGGTACCGGTCGCCGTAGCAACAGCGCTCACTAAACACCCCACTACCACTCCGAGGCGTAGCGTTTTCGTTTTTTAAGGGTCGCACTGGATGCTATGGTGTAGATGGCGCCTCTGGGCAGTCAGAACTCTGGTCTATACTATCAGCTGACAGACTTGGTGGCCGTTTTCAACCAGATGTTGGAGCTAGAAAGCAGCCGATTATGCCAAGCCATCTTCGTTATTTGATGGGCTCAGAGGGCAAGGGACCCACGCGTTTTCACATGGTTTATCAGTTTCACCTGAGGTGACACTTCGACACCTTTTGCCCTCCTCACCACGCGAACGCACGCTCACATCAACGCACACAGAGTCCAAGCCTCACACAAGCAGTTTATTGGCAGGGAGATACATGGAGACATGGCTGTCGGTCCTTGGAGCGCCCCCTGGCCTCACTCCAGTCCTGCCCTTTTCGCAGCCAGGCTCTGTTGATGTGCACCAGGAGCTAGGCTTGGTATTCAGTGCTCCTTCTGCTGTCTCTGGTTTATTCTTCCAGTGTCCAGGTATCAGGGTGGTTTGGGGCTCTCCAGGGCAGATAGGTCTGGGTTCTGTGCAAGAGGGCCCTTCCTAAGACTATGACCAGTGGCCTGAGGCTGAGTACTGCCTGCCAGAGTAATACTCTTCCCACCATAAGGATTATCCAAATGTCCCCGTCTCATTGTCATCCTGAATTCCAGAAATCTCATTGTTGGCAGCACACAAGGTTAAACAAACCCTGTTCAGGGTGATGGTCTCCCAGAGCAAAATGGAACCAGTTCTTAACACAATAAGTGGCAGCAGGAATTTAGGGTTCTTCAAGGGCCCTCAGGCTAAAGCCAATTTATTCATCCAACAAGTTGAGTGTCTACTGTGTACTAGGCAGTGTTCTAGAAGGTGGGGGAGATAGCCCACACTGGCAAGGTCCTGACTGAGCCCATGCAGGACAGTTTCCTGAGCTTCAAGGTCATTGTCTCCCATCTCTTTTCTATCTATTCACTCCTTTCTCCCATTTCTTCCCCTTTCACCCTCCCACTACCTCCCAGGCCCTTTCTTCTCTGCTTAAGCAGCAGATACCCTCCCTTTGGTCTCCTGGGCCTCCACCCTCACTGGACCCATCATTCCAGTCCTGCTGGTGGCTCCTCCTTGAGAGGCCTTGCCCGACCATCCCCCACCCCAAAGGGTCTCAGGCCCAGGTGCCCACGCTGGTGCTTGATACGGGCAGAACTGTCACCAAATCCCTTGCCACACTCTGCACACTTGTATGGCTTCTCCCCAGTGTGTGTGCGCCTATGTTTGACTAGATCTGAGCTCCGGGGAAACTCCTTCCCACAAAAGCCACATACATGGGGCTGGCTGGGTCCAGTGAGTTGGGCCCGGACTTGAACTTGGGGGGCCATGGTTGCTGGGCCGGGGGGGTTATGTGGCCTCAGAAGAGTGGATGGTGGTGGTGGCTGAGCCCGTTCACCGCGATGGGTACGGAGGTGCTTGACTCGGGCTGAGCTATCAGCAAAACCCTTGCCACATTCAGGGCAGAGGTAGGGTTTTTCCCCTGTGTGCACACGATGGTGTTTCACCAGGTCTGAGCTTCGGCGGAAGCCCTTGCCACACTCAGGGCACTTATGGGGCTTGTCACCTGCGAGTGGTGGGGGTGGCTCCCCAGCCTGTGGACCCCCTGGCTCTGGCTCCAAGCCGGGAAGGCCAAAAGGCCCATCATCCGAGTGTGAAGGGCTTTGAGGCGTCAGTGGGGGACTGGTGCCAAGAGGGGGTGGAGGTGGGCTTGAGCTGGGGGGTGGGGTAGGGATTAGGGGAGCCAGGGGATAGCCTGGGAAGCTGAAGTCCTGGGGCTCCATATGAGTGAGGCGGTGGCGGAGAAGGGTGGAGCTGAGGCTGAAGGTGCGGTCACATTCCGGGCAGGCATGAGGCCTCTCGCCACTATGGGTACGGAGGTGCTTTACCCTGGCGGAGCTGTCAGCAAAGCCCTTTCCACACTCAGGGCAGAGGTAAGGCTTCTCTCCCGTGTGCACCCGCAGGTGCTTCACCAGGTCTGAGCCCCGGGCAAACTCCTTTCCACATACATCACAGCCAAAAGGCTTGGGCCCCAGATGACTGCGCTGGTGGCTCAGAAGACTACAACTGAGCACAAATCTTTTGCCACAGTCAGTACAGATATATGGCTTGTCCTGGGCCTTGGGTCCCTGTGTGGCAGCAGTGGCTGTTCGAGATGGCTGCTGTCGGGGCACCACTGGCCGAGGGGGCTGCTCCCCACGGTGTGTCCGCTGGTGCTTTATTCGGGCAGAACTATCACCAAAGCCCTTGCCACAGATGCCACACTTGTAGGGCTTCTCTCCCGTATGTGTCCGCTGGTGTTTTACCAGGTCAGAACTCTGCCGGAAGCTCTTGCCACATTCACCACAGATAGTGGGGCGCTCACCAGCAGGGATCCTGGACCGAGGAGTCTTTGGGGGACCTTGGGCTGGTGGTCGGGCTCTGTAGGGCTTTTCACTACTATGAGTTCGCTGGTGTTTGATACGGGCAGAGCTATCCCCAAAGCCCTTGCCACAGACCCCGCACTTGTAGGGTTTCTCCCCTGTGTGGGTCCGCTGGTGTTTCACCAGATCTGACATCTGCCGAAAGCTCTTGCCACACTCGCCACACACTGCAGCCCGATCACTAGTCTGGCCCCAACGTGGTTCTCCCAGGAGCCGAGGGCTTCTGTCCCGAGCATGTGGTTTTCCTGTTCCCTCTCTCTGGATCCATAAGTCATCCCAGGTCTTGATGCCTTCGGGTTTGAGAGAGGCATTTCCTACTTCATGATCTGGGGCCAAATCTTCCTCTTCCTTGAACCCCAAGTCATCCTCTTGTGGGGTATGTTCAAACTCATCTGGCTGAGACAGCTGCACATTCTCACTGCCTAGACCTGGGGAAAGAAAAGGGAGTTGCAGACCCTGCCCTTTGGCTCATTCCATGTCTTTGATAGAAATCTCCCCAGAAAGGCTTCCTCAACAATCTGGGGTCACAGGGATCTCTCTCACCCCTGAAATTCTGAAACCCTTATTATTGACCGTGCTTTTTAATAATAACAGTAACTTCCTTTACTACACCCTTCACCTATGCCAATCATTGAACTAAGCATTACTGAATCCTTGCAGACCTATGAGGTAATACTATTACTATCCTTATTTTACAGTCATGGAGACTCAGAGAATTTAAGTCACTTGCTCAAGGTTAGAAACGTTAGAAAGTAGCAATGCCAGGTTTCTAACTCAGGTCTGCCTGATACCCAAACCTACGTCAACCACAATATTATATTTGTCTCTATTTGAAAACCTGATATTTGCTATTTGTATTATGTCCTTTTTCATATCAGCCCATTTTTTTTACTTTAATCATCTTGTATGTACCTGAGAGGACCCAGACACACCTGTTCCTCAAGATGCTTGGGGTTGGGAGGTGAGAAGATAAAGTACAAATAATTATAATTGTGGGCTCAGAATAACTGTGCTGTCACAAGAGGGAGAAATAAGAAAGAAGACAGGGCCAGGCTTTCACTGCGGAGAAAAAAATAAACCATGGAAGAGAATGTAAAATAAAACTGGAAAGGAATGATGGGATTAGATTGAGCATGTAAAGTCTGGGTTGAACACTGAAGCTAAGGCTTTTAATTAGTAGGCAGAAGGGAGCCTGGGAAGGTTTTTGAGAACCGAGACAGGATTAGATCTGGACTTAGATCAATGTGGCTGCAGAGTGCATTATTGGAGAGAAAAGGGCTGAGGAGAGGCTGTTGTAATTGCCGGGATGGATAGAATGAGGCCTCAAGTAGAGCAGAGGCCGTGAGAACGGTGAAGACTGTCGAAGACTGGGAGAGAGTCCTTGAGATGATGCCCCTCACGGCCTGGGGCACAGATGCTCAGAGACGTTGGCTCCCTCTCTCAATTTTTGAACACCTCCCCTTCTCTCCCTGGAAGCGCAGTTGATGTCCGATTTTTCTGGGTCTTGGCCAGTCAGAGCCTAGCACCGGAGTCCCCACCCAGACTTTTAGCAGGTCCTGGCGGCGCACTGCCGCGGCCCTCACCTGTGCGGGCGCCTCTCAGCGGCTCCCTGTCCTCTGGGCCATGCAGATCCGGGCCCCAGGGCTCCACTGTGCGCTCCATCGCCTGCACGCCACCCTGGATAAGGGAACAGACACAATCCCACCGTCACACAGCCATGTGCGGTCCGTGGCGCCCTGCCGCTGCCCTCTGCCGGCCGGGGCGGGCACAAGGCAGCGTCCGGGTCCGAGGTGCGGGGCGCGGCTCCCGGTGACCCTCCCCTGCGCCGCCGGCTGTCCCTGCACCTGCTGCTCCTTTCCTCACACAGCCGTCCCCTTCACCTACCGGCCACCTCTGGCTCCGCCACCCCGGCGCCTTCCGGAGCTCCTCGGCTAGGCTCCGGCGCCCGAGCCTCCGGCTACACCGGGATGCCAGCTCCGCGCCCAACGGGGAGGGGGCTCGGACCCAGGCGTCCCGGGGACAGCCGCCAGGGGCGGGGATGGGAAGCGGAAGCGCTGGGCCGCTCGGAGCCGCTCTAGGACCTTGGAGGAGGTGCACGCCTGTGGGGACGACCAGCGTCCTCCGGAGCTCGGTGGCCGGCGAGCCGCCGCGTGCCGCAGAGAGGGCTACTCTGAGCCAAGAATAGTTGATGGAACTCGGTGGTATTAACCGTGTGCCTCCGGGGCTGGAGCTGGGTGATGAGAGCCAAGGACTCTTCCTAATTGTGGCTGTGTTGGGCCGCTTGCGCTGACCTCCAGGGCTGGCCGATAGTGCCAGCCACTCCGGTCCGGAGAGACAAAGAGAGATCGAAAGACGGACCCAGGGAGAGGTGTGGGGGAAAGACCAAGGCAGACAAAAGGCGGCAGAGGGCGGCGGAGACCCCGACGGGGCGGGGGCGGGGCGCCGAGACACTGGAAACAAAGCAGGGCCGGTCCGAGTGGCCGAGTGCCGGGGTGGGGGCGGCGGCTGGAGGCTGGGCTGGGCTGTCTAGGGGAGACTGAGACTGGCGCTGAGGCTAAAGGCAGATGCCTGATCTCTTCTTGGAAGAGGCAGGCACGTCGAATCAGAGCTGGGGCCCCGAACAGAGAACCTTTGCTAGAGGCAATGTTGTAACCTGAAAGCCCTGAGTCAGGACGCTAAGGCAGAGAGAGACGGAGAGACAGCAACAAACCAAAAATAAAGGAGCAAAAGATTGGCCACCAGAGACAAAGAGATGTAGAGACAGATAAGAGAGAAATGAAGTCAGTGAAGCAGAGTTGGAGGAGCGCTAGCTACGGAAAGGCAGGGACCCTGGAAAAAAAGAGACTGAGAGGCAGAGGAACAAAGACAGTGAAACCGGCAGAGACAAAGAGACAGAGACACAAAGAAAGAGGCTATGGGTAGACTAGGGACAGATCGACAGCCCTACAAAGGCCAAGCCCAGGATAAGGCTAAAGCATTAAACCCTGGTTCCTAGCTTGGTGGGGTCCTGGCTGGGGCTGTTTCGGCAGACCAGGGGCACGACCCCCAGTATCTATTCTTGGCAAGCTTGCCTTTGGGGAAGGGGGTGCCTGGAAGTATCTATAGCCCATGTGATGATGGGGATGGGTAACAGAGATACCTTATGGTAGAGTTCAGTGACTGTGGATGACACTGTCTTTGAGGCCATTGGTACAGAATTTGGTTTCTGGCCTATCATTTACTATTGTTTGACCTTGGGGACTTCTGTTTCTTGAACTGTAAAATGGGGATGATGATACCTAATTTGAATGGTTGAGGATTAATATGTGTAAAACACTTAGCAAACAATAATCAGTTATTACTCTGCTCTCAGGTGTAACCAAGGAAGAACGTGGCATTTTTAGCTAATCCTTTCAGGACAGCTAAGATTTCAGCAAAGTCCACAGCCTGGCTGCATGGAGGAAGAATGGAGAACTTCAGGCAGAGGGGATGAAATGAACAGTGGCCCACACACTATTTGAAAACCTACTGTGTTAGAAGCTTGAGATTCAAAGTTGATTAAGACCTATCCTCAAAGAGGAAAATGGAAAATAGTTCTAGCTTAATGTGTCCTGACTTACATGATAGGAAAGCAGTGGAAGCTAAAAATAGAAAGGTTAAGTTTACTCATTTGTTTTACAATATTTCCTGGGGATCCACCACGTGCCAGGCGCTTGTGTTGGGAATCAGAGGTAAGAAGGTATCAAATGGCTAAGAGCCTGTCCCTCTTGGAAGAACCTTTCCCCAAAGGCTGGCTAGCTGGCAGCCATATCCACTTGGAGAGCTAGCTCTGACTTTGAGAAGACAAAGCCTGGAGTCAGAGGTCTAAACCTGCTCTTGAATCTAAAGATACAGAAACCCCTCTAGGGCTGCCTGATGGGGGCATAGGTAGCCATGAAAACATCATGGCGAGATGAAGAAGACCAAATCCAGATGATTATTAAATGGGAAAACTTCTGTCAAACATACATTGCTCCATAGGAAGGCCAAAGTGGGACCTTTCTTTCTCCAAACAGGATCCAAACCTTATCACATGATTATTGGGCATATTGTGTTGGAGATGTCAGGATGTAAATGGAATATTGTATCACTGCTAATTCATATTATTCCTACATTTGACTCTACAAAAAGACTAAGAGACTTTTCTGCAGGGCAATTTGTTAATATGCACAAATGTCTTAAATATGTTATCTCCTTTGACCCGGTAATTCCCCTTATATAAATTAGGCCCAAGGAAATGACTAGACAAGTACACACTGATGGCACCACAAATATGTTCCTCCCAGCTCAGCATTGTTTATCACAGGAAAGAATGGGATTCAACCTAAACAATGATCACCTATAAAAATGATAATTAGATATCTATTATAATAAAAAGATATACAGAACATATGAAGTGACAAAAGCAGGTTTGCAAATGAAGTTATAGTATGATCCTAGTTTTGTAAATATATATTTAGTCATATGTATAGGGATAGGAGGAAATTTAGGAGGATAAAAATCAAAATGGGGTTATCATTTTGTGATACAGTAGTGATATTGGATGTAAATTTTTCTAACCATTTGCATTTTCTAATTTTTCTATGAGAATATATGTTGGTTATACAATAAATAAATGAACATACCTGTTATTTTCTTAAGGCTGTTGACTAACTCAGTGAAGAGTTGATCTGAGAGTCTGAAACCAGGGGTAAGGGGTAGAGGATGTAGAAAGAAAGGGACTGATTTTTTTTCTGACAGGAAGGACTTGGAAACCAATTGGATATACTTGTGGAGAGGGAGGGAGGAAGAAGCTCATAGTTTTAACGAAGACTGGAGGGCTGCTTAGCCTGCTGGGAAAGGCAGGAAGGAAGGGTTGTGGTGGAGTGGGGAGTGGTATATTTATCCCTTCCCTGGGCTTCTTGACGTACTCTGTTTATTCCCTTATTACATTGCATTTCTAAGCACCAGTGTTGTGTGCCACACTTACTCGTGGCTGTCTCTTTCTCCCCAAAGTGCTGCAACCCTTACTGATTCACTCTGGATCCAATTAATTAATCCAGAAGAGCAGTCACTAGATTTGAGCTGGTGGCACTTTCAAACCCCTCAGCTCATTAAATAGCAATAACTAGCATTCTGTGTCAGTTCATCTCACATGCCAGGCACTGTACTAAGAGCTTGATGTAGATTAGATCATAAAATCCTCATCGTGACCCTATGAGGTAGAATTATAATGGCACCATTTAACAGGTAAAGAAACTAAGTCACAAAGAGGTTAAAGTAATGCCCATGGTTACACAGTAAGATCACATAGCTCTTAATCACTATATGTTTCTATAATCATATGAACCTTGCACAACTTCTGTGAATTCAGTGTGGTAGGATCATCCAATCTTATCTGACAGATGAGGAAAGTAAGTCCCAGAGGTGATTTTCCCAAGGTTTACATGGAGTGAACAGTACTAGAAAAGAGGTTGAAGTATGGATGAGATGCATAGATTGCACCATGGATGAATCTTAAAAAATAGTGTTGAATGAAAAGTTAAACAGACATGTGTGTTCATATAAACATTTGTGTAAGCATGTACCATATACTGCATTAGACAGTTTTCAAAATGTATACAAAACCAAAAAATTACACATTTGGCACATTAGAATTATTGCCTTAGGCTGAGGAGAGGGAAGGAGTGAGCTATGATGCTGTATTTGTCTGCTCAGGCTGCCATAACAATACCAGACTAGAAGTCTTATTAAACTACAGACATTTACTTCCTCAGAGTTCTGGAGACTAGAAGTCCACAGTCAAGGTGCCAACAGGGTTAGTTGCTGGTGAGGCGTCTCTCCATGGGTCGCAAACAGCAACCCTCTCACTGTGTCCTCAATATGGCCTTTCCTCTGTGTTTGCACAGGGAGAGATCACCAATGTTTCTTATAAGGACACCAGATCTATTGGATCGGAACCCTTCCCTTATGACCTCATTTAATCTAAACCACCTCCTTACAGGCCCTATCTTCAAATACAGTCACATAGGAGATTAGAGCTGCAACACATGAATTTTGGGGAGACAGTTCTGCCCATAACACGGTGAGAAAGGAAATAATAAAACAAGAAGTGGAGAAAGAAAGTGGTGTTGGAGCAGGAGGCAGGATCCACATCAAGCAACACCTTATAGGCCATACTAAGGACATTAGCTTTAAAGGCTGAGAGGGTCAGTCAGTTCATAATTGCTAAAGCCAGAGTTTGTATATATAACTTATTGACTCCAAAGTCTGTGTGATTTGAAAACATTATGAGTCCTGAAAACAAAGTGATAATTGGAGCATTTCATTTTACTATGAAGAAAATGGAGTTCAGAGTGGTCAAATGACTTGCCCAAGGTCACACAGTAAGTGGTATAGCTGAGATTTGTGGAATTCTTTCTGATTCCAAAGCAAGTCTCCTTTTATATGTTCTTGCAGCCTCTCAGCCTTTGGCTCCAACTAACTTCATTCACTCATTCTTTCATGCTTTCATTCATCTAGTATATTGTTTACTGGCACCTTTTTTTTGTGCCAGGCCCAGTGCAAGATACTGGGGCTATAGGAATGAAAAAGATGTACTCCATGCCATCAGAAGTAGAGGAAACATCCAGGTAAGCAAGTGTGGGCATTGAAGGGACCTCTGAAAGGTGTGAGGAGTCCACAGACAGGAAAATGAGTCTGCCTGGGATGGTTGTGGAAGATTTCATAGAGGAGGAAAAAGAGCCTTTGAATCAAACCCTTGAAGGATGAAGAGGAGTTTACCTGGTGCAGAAGGAAAAGCTCAGTGTGGGCACAGTCAAGGATGTGGGCACTTGCCACAAGGATGAGTGAGGGATGGGGTGATGAGGTCAGACAGGGAAGGCTTTGGCTGCCAGGCCAGAACTCAGACTTGATAGGTCACTGGGAAGCCCCTGAAGGTTTTGAACAGGAAAGTGCCATGGCCAGAATTCTGAAGGAAGGTCTGTCTGGTGGTGGTATCCAAAAACCTGAAATCCTTTTTAACAATCCTTTTTAACTGCATGAGCTGGCAAGGAAAATTATTGACCCATTCCATCACTGATCCCATTATGGCTTTTGGTCCACTCAGGCTCTGGGAACCCTTTTTTTTCTTTAAACCACTCTGTCAAAACCTTTGTTTTACTTGCTAGAGAGACCAACCTGCTTCTCTGTCTACACTTCACCTCCCACCAGGATGACAGGGCTATATAGTAGGGCTTGGAATAAAGGTGTGCATAGAATGGAGGAGCTGAAGCTTCCTCTAGGGTTGATGGGCAAAGGGATCCAGGAGGTGAGGACCCCGGGTATTCTTTCTTGGTCCTGGCTTTCCTCACCTCTCTGGGCCAGTTTGAGCATCTCAGCTTCCTACATCACCCGCCCCCTTGTTTGCCGCACTCAACTTCCTGTCCCACCAGAGGAAGTGGGGTGAGACAGCAGGTGCAGCAACAGCTAGCAGGGCCATGGTGAGTCCTTATGCCCAGAAATCCAGGCATCTCAGCCCAACTTCCAACCCCTAGGGTAGCCAGGCCCAGGTCAACCCCCAGGAGGCTGACTTCTAGCCCCCAGGATCAGCTTATGCTGGGGCCTCTGCCTGCCACTCCCAACAGCCTCATATTGTCCCCGCTCCACCGCCACAGGACAAGGAGTATGTGGGTTTCGCCACCCTCCCCAACCAGCTGCACCGCAAGTCTGTCAAGAAGGGGTTTGACTTCACACTCATGGTGGCAGGTCTGGGTTTTGGAGAAGGGGCTGGCAGGGGGTCCTCAGGAGATACTGTCTTCTCACCTGATCAGCTGAACTTGGCCTGTCCACAGGGGACTCAGGCCTAGGGAAATCCACCCTCATCAACAGCCTGTTTCTCACCAACCTCTATGAGGATCGGCAACTGCCGGAGGCCAGTGGTAAGACTCTTTCTGTCCTCTCCAGACACTCTGTCCCCTCCCATGTCCCCAGGCTGCACTCTATTCCTTTCCATCTGGGTCTCCCATGACTTTCTGGAGGACTTAGGCAGCTCACTAGAACTTTTCTCTAGGACCCAGTTGCCTCCCCTTAAAAATGGGTGGGGGCAACTGCGATACAAAGGAAGGAAATTAGTACTGCCTCAGACTCCCACCCTGCTCCCTGACCTCTTCCTGTCCCCATAGCTCGCTTGACACAAACGCTGACCATTGAGCGCCGGGGTGTGGAGATTGAAGAAGGGGGTATTAAGGTGAAACTGACCCTGGTGGACACTCCTGGCTTTGGGGACTCAGTGGATTGCTCAGACTGGTGAGGAGTTGGGGGAGAGAATAGGGGGGCTAAGCTTCCCAATGTGGCTACTCTATGGAGACTGAAGGGTCAGTTATGGGGCTAGTCTATTCTGGCCCCCTACCCACCCTGACCCAAAAGATAGGGCCTGTTTCTGGTGGCCATGTGGCCCAAAGTGCCCTATGCTTCCTAACATCTTACCTACAGTCCTGCTAGCTTCCTTTGGTGTCTTTGGTTGGAGCCAAGGAAACTACCTCTCCACCTCAGTCCTGGCTAGCCTTGCCCCCATCCCTGCAGCACCTGATTTCTGACTGCCTGCTTTCTCCCCATCTCTCCGTGCAGCTGGCTGCCCGTAGTGCACTTCATTGAGGAGCAATTTGAGCAGTATCTTAGGGATGAGAGTGGCCTCAACCGGAAGAACATCCAGGATTCCCGTGTCCACTGCTGCCTCTACTTCATTTCACCCTTTGGCCGGGGGTCTGGAGGGCACCCTGGGGTTAGGAGGATTTGGGAAGGGGTATGGGTGTCTCTACGCCCTAAGACAGCCCTGACCAATCCCTGGCTGCAGGCTCCGGCCCCTAGATGTGGCCTTCCTCCGGGCGGTGCATGAGAAGGTCAACATCATCCCCATCATTGGCAAAGCAGATGCCCTGATGCCGAAGGAAACGCAGGCCCTCAAGCAGAAGGTGTGTGTGGCTACCTCTAACCTTTGGCCTCACATGAAGCCTAAAGTCATGATCAAACCTGAACTCAGCTTTGACTTCTTTGATCTTGGGGTAGCCTTTTTGGGCATGATGTGTCAGGCTAGACTGTGGGAGAAGGTTTTTGAAGAAGGTGGGTAGTAAACTGCCTGAAGGAGCCATGTTTCTATAGGCTCAGAATAGTTTCCCTGGGCTGGGTACTTGGCTAAGGCCTGTCTGAGGGCAGAGGCATAGACATGACTTCTGCTATTCCTCTGGCCCCAAGATGTTGAAGACTTCCCTCCAGTGTATTCAGAGCCCTTTTCCACTGTGCTTATGGTTCTCTTTGGTTTCTTACGTTTTGGTGTCTGCCTCATGTTAGAATCTTTCCAGCCTCAGTCTTCCCTGTTAGGGTGTCTTTGTTTTTCACCATCTATGTTTTTGTCTCTCATTGTCTGAGATTTTGTTTTTGGTCATCCTGTATGTCTACCTCTCACCATCTCTCTTTCACATCTTCCTGTTTCAGACACACAGTATCTGTGTCTGTATCTCACTGTCTCTGGACATGCGATGCCTGTTGCTCACAGCCTCTGTTTCTCACTGTATCTGCATCTGTCTCCTCAGATCCGGGACCAGCTGAAGGAGGAGGAGATCAGCATTTATCAGTTCCCCAATTGTGACTCTGATGAAGACGAAGACTTCAAGAGGCAGGATGCGGAAATGAAGGTGCAGAGGAAAAAGGAGGGAGGGGCAGAAAAGCAGGGGAAACGGATGTAGAGGTGGAAGCTGAGGAAGAGGTTTCTCCCTGCGAGGGGCCAACGGTGATCCCTGACACCTGCCCTCTAGGAAAGCATCCCTTTCGCAGTTGTCGGTTCGTGCGAGGTAGTGAGGGACGGTGGGAACCTACCGGTGAGGGGACGCCGCTACTCCTGGGGTACCGTGGAGGGTAAGTAAGGTTGCGCACGCCTTCTGAGGTTAGCAGGGAGCCCAGGCCGCCTCCGAGTCAACCGCACCCAACATGTGAGGTGGAGGTGAGCTCTGGCCTCTTGGGTCCTAGGAGCCAAAAGAAGGGTCCTTGGGCTGCAGACTGCGAACCTTCCCTAGAACGGTGGCGGGACTCCTGCCGGTAGGGCTAGACCCTAAGCTTCGGGACTCTCCCGGTTCGCCCCCCAGTGGAGAACCCACATCACAGCGATTTCCTGAACCTACGACGGATGCTGGTGCAGACACACTTGCAGGACTTGAAGGAGGTAACGCACGACCTGCTCTACGAGGGCTACCGCGCCCGCTGCCTACAGAGCCTGGCCCGGCCTGGAGCGCGGGATCGAGCCAGCCGTAGGTGAGAGCCAGCGCTGACTCCCAGGTGCTTCAAGGCCCCGCCCTTACCATTCCAGACCTCCCCTCCACCACCCACATTTTTGACCACTCACTTTGCTTACGGCACTAACTTCCAGGACACGGTCCCGCCTCCTAACCCCCAACCTTTCCCCAGGGCCTTGGTCATGTCTTTGACTCCTGGCCCTTTCCCCCACTTCCTAGTAAGCTCTCCCGCCAGAGCGCCACAGAGATCCCTCTGCCTTTGCTGCCTCTGGCCGAGACGGAGAAGTTGATCCGCGAGAAAGACGAAGAGGTGAGCAAGCATCTCGCTTCCCCCGCGACCAAGGCCCTAAATCCTTTTCGAAGTCCCTTTCTGGCCTCCCTCGGTAACACCGCCCACAATCTTGTCCCGCACAGCTGCGCCGAATGCAAGAGATGCTGGAGAAAATGCAGGCCCAGATGCAGCAGAGCCAGGTTCAGGGCGAACAGTCGGACGCTCTCTGAGGTCCCCGCCTGGGCCCTGCTTTACCTCGGCTCCTCCTTCAGTCTGTCCCTTGTCCAGTCCCCGAGTCCCAGGCTGCCCAGTGCCTTATCCCGGAGCCCCAAGATCCGCCTTTGAGCGGGCTTCTCTATAACAGATTCCCCCAGTCCCAGAGTTTGTGGCCCCGCCTCTAGCTCCGCCCCGACCCCACCTGGGTTACGCCCGCCCCGCCCACTTCACCGGCTGTGAGCTTCCAACCCAGTCCTTGACCTCCCCCACCCCGCCCTTCTTCACCACGCTGTGACATCAATAAAGTGTTCCTTTAGGCCACGTGAGTCTTTACTTTACCAGCGGGAATAAGAGGCTGGAGTAGCGGGTAGAACTACCCCACCAGGCCGCCGGGGCACTTTATTCATTCATTTGTTGGGCACTGGCTTTGTGCCAGGTAATGTTTTCAGCTCAGGCTCCCACCTGAAACATGCTGAAGGTGCCCGCCAAAAAGAAACAAAGACCAGTTCAATTTTATTAGGAGTCGGTGTCGGGGTCGTACTGGCAGGAATGCGTTGGCCAGCAGAGAACTGAAGGGTCCCCTACTCCTGGTCCTTGGCGTCGCCATGCGTGATGACGTAGCAGATGTTCTTGTAGTCTACGTTGCCGCCCACGTCGGGGGGGAAGGCCGCCCACATGTTTCTGATCTAGAAAATACCCAGTGGCGTCGCCTACCTGTTCCTTACTCTCCGCTCCCCCATCTCTCCCCCTCTACTGGCCCGCTCCCCCACTCACCTCTTCCTGGGAGAAGCGGTCACACTGCGTGGTAAGCAACTCCTCTAGGCTGGAGAGAGGTGACATGGGGAGTTGAAATAGGGCTTCATGATTCATTTCCATTCTTCCACCTCATTCTTGTTGACATTCCCAGACTTGCCTTGAAAACGGGTCACTCTAGATCCCTCATTGCTCTCCCAAACATTCTGCATGTGCTGTGAAAATTCAATCCTGTCGCCCATTTCCCCAGTCCTAATCTCCCTTATCCCTAGCAGCGCCTAACCTTTGGTAGGAATTTAAGGAGGCTTTCTGTGCGTAAGGAGCTGGAGAGGTCACTTACAATTGCTTCTTGATGGTGCCCTTCCCCTCAGGGTCCAGGACCTTGAAAGCTCCAGTGATCACGTCCTCGGGGTCGGCACCTGGTGGGTTGGAGGGCATATGAAGCTTAAGGGTTCTGGTGGGACTTGAAGGGTCTGTTCATGAAAGGTCTGGGGAGGATCAGCTGGGGGCTTAGACCCAAGACCCTTCATTTACCTTTGAGCTTCTCCCCAAACATGGTCAGGAAGACTGTGAAGTTGATGGGACCGCTGGCTTCCTTCATCATGGCATCAAGCTCCTCATTCTTCACATTGAGGCGCCCTGGAGGTGGTGGTGGGGGACCATGGGCTGGAGTGGAGTCTTGGGGCTAGGGGATGATGTTTCCCATAAATTCAGATGATCTCACCCATTTTTAATCTGGGTAGACTGAGACCCAGCAGGGCTAGAACCCAAGGTTGCTGAACTGAATTTTTACAGGTGGAGTGGGGGCTTACCCATGGCTGCAAAGGTGTCCCGCAGGTCTTCCTTGTCGATAATGCCATCACGGTTCTGATCGATTACCGTGAAGGCCTGTGGAGGGCAGGGACAGGGAGGGTTTACAGACCATGCTTTAGTATCCCTACCCCAAACAGATCAGATTCTGGCTCCCTGCCAGTTGTCCTCTTACATTCTGAGCAGGGAGGGGAGCAAGGAACTCTAAACCCTTCCCCTCCCCCCCCAAACAGGTGCACATTCCAGGGAGGGGGTGGTGGGAAGGAGGGGCAGCAGGGGGTGCTTTTGGTCAGCCTTCAGTCTCCCTTCTGTCTTCACTCACCTCCTTGAACTCCTGGATCTGAGTTTGATCAAACATGGAGAAGACATTGGAGCTTCCACCCTCTGCCGCTGCCCTTCTCCTGGCCTTCTTGGGTGCCTGGGGGGTGAAGGTTGGGCAAAGGGGTCCATGGATCCATCTGTACTCTCTGGAGGCAGTGGATTAGATTTGGGGTTCTTTGAGTTCATTCTTCTAAAGGAACTCTTCTGGATCGAGGCTTCCCTCTCCTTATGACCTCTTTGTTGAGGGGACTTGTTTTGGTTGCATCCTCAAATTCCTTTCTGTAGCCCTTGAGTGTCCATCTCTCCAACCTACCCAATGATGGGAGGGTCCTCCCTTTCTCAGTGCCCTAAGCCTGCCTCCTCTGAGTCCCAAACTTGCTGTGTGACCCTCATCTACTCATTCATTCTGTCTGAACCTCTACTTCCTCATTTATACAATGGCAGTGAGAATCCTTGCCTGACTGGTCCCAGAGGGTTTCAGGAAGATGCAGGAAGGTATGGAGCATGCTTTGAGAGGGACTCCATGAATGGAGTGTCTGGGCAGATAATCATTAGGCCATTATTCTGTACTCATCCCATTAGTGATACCAAGAAAAGGAGGATTCATTGTTTTTCCTCTTGCTGGACTGGGAACCAGCTACTTTCTTTCAAAGGGTGAGGCTGTCCTGAGGTCTGAGGGATCTGGGCATGGGCTCAGGGATTCTCACTCACCATGTCTTTGCTCTCCTAGGGGCACAGCAGTGGCTCTGTCTAGAAAGGAGCAGAGTTAGTCTAGGGCTGTTCCTCTGGGGTTATATAGTCCTGCCCCAGGGAGCCCTTAACATACCAGGGTAACCTTAGCCCTGTGAGTGCCCACTCCGGATACCAAAATAACCCTTCTCAGGGCCTCTCCTATCTTGGAACGCCAGCAACAGCTGGAGCTCAGGGAGGGAGGGAGTAGGGAGTGGATCTTGGTATGCATGTTTCTCTAGGACCTGGGCAGGAAGGGATGTTCTTTCTCCCAAAGAGGGGCTGGAATGTGCCAGAGTTCAGAGAGGATCCAAGCTGAGGCACAGTACTGGGAGAGAGATGAACCAGGCCCCTGCATTTCTGAGTAGGGTGTGCCCAGATTTAAACCCAGTTGATTTGTTGAGCACCTATAGTGTGCCAGGTACTGGGCTGAGCTTTGTGGGGGCACTTTGGCAAGCACAATCTCTGCACTCCTATTGTGGAGTTCAAGCTAAGTGTACATATGTGTCGTGGTAGTGGCAGAGTTGAAATTTGGGTGGGAGGGAGCCATCTGGGGAAGCTGAAGGTCAGGAAGGTCATTACATTCCCTTCAAGGAGAGGGGGGATTTTCTGAGGAAAGATACAGGGCATGGAATCACTGGGTCTGAAGAGACTAGACAGCCTGGAGCAGAGAGCCTGCGCTGTGATCTTAGGCTTTGTGCTTCAATTCCCTGGGCCTTGGTGTCCCCCTCTATAAAATGGGGATTAATTCCTATCCCACAGAACTTTCAAAGGTGAACATTATTTGGTAACAGTTGTGAAGTATAATCATTATAATTAATATTTAATTATAATGGCCCTGCCTTGGTGGAACTTAGAGTCTAGCTGTGGAGACAGGATATAAGCAGAAAATTACATACCAGCTGATCAGGAGTGCAGAAGTAGAGGCTGTAGCAGCTCTGGCTAGGAGTAAGGGCATGACTTTATGAAGGTCAGTAGGAATGAGTCAGGTGAAAGTGGAGGAGCAGGCATACTAAGCAGAGGGCATGGATGGGCATAGAACTGGAGAAGTGAAAGGTCACAAGTGTTCAGGTTGCTACAACTGTGATCATGCTTGAGTATAGGATGCCAAGGGCTGGAGACCAGACACTGGAAGGCCTTCAATGCCAGGATGAGGGCTGAGACCTTTGAGCCTTGGAAAGGTTTGAGACAGGACATGGTCTAGTGTAAGTCTATAATAATTTCTTTAGATACTGGTGTGAAAGGTGGAACCTAGAGCAGGTGAGTCAAAGATACCAAGAGGGAAACTAATTGGTCACCTCCTCCTGGGTGGCTGGGATGGCCAGTAGCTTTTCACTCCATTCTGGGCAAGAACCAGCTTGGCTGACTGTGTGACTCTGAGGTTCCTTCTCCTAGGGGAAATAGTGGCTGAGGAAGCTGCAAGAGGCCAAAGTTGGCAAGGACACCCATCTCTCCCTCCTGCTCCCTCTAGGACCTGATGTCCTCAGGAAGGTCCCTCCTCTCCACTCCCTCCTCCAGTCTCATGCCAATGCCTCTAAGACATTTTCTTTTCTGGGCACTGGGGTCCAGCCACCTGTTGTCTCATAAGAAAAGAGAAGGAGCCACCCTAAACTTAGCAGCTGCCCTTGGCCTCCTGCACTGGCCCCTCCCTGTTTCAGCTGACAGATGCCTCACCTTATATGGTTACCATGGGGGTCCAGGCCCAGGGAGGAGCCCACCTATTACTGGGTTCTGGGAGGGGAGGACAACTCTAAAGAGGGGAATGGGGCAAGTGCTCAGAAAGCTTGGGTCAAATGGAAAGTGGAGAAATTGAGAAGGAGGAGATCAGAATCCATGTATCTCAGACACTGAATGTAGTTCACAAGATCAGGTCTGTGCTGGGAGCAAGGAGCCTCAGAGAACTTAGGAACCAAGGAACTGGGAAGTTGGGAGCTAGGCCTGACTGAAATTTCAGGATGGTGGACTCAGTATGGAAATTACAGCCCTCTAAACTGGGGCTGAGGGGAATGGGCATTTTAAAGTGTAAGGTTCGTAAAGTCAGAGCTTTGTGTTTGTAGTCTACGTTAGCCTGGTGTGGCTCATGAGATTGGAGCCTGGTTTGTCAGCAGAAAATGAGGATCACAGAGAGGTGTGGCAATGAAGGGAGAGGAGTTGAAGGGATGGATCCTGAACCCCCAAAAGAATAAGAACACAGATATGGGAGTTCACGGTATTGGGAATTCATGGTTTGTGGTTTGGGATCCCCACTTAAATTAGGGTGGTTACTCAGGGTTAGGTAGAGAAACTGGAGCCTGGATTCTAGGTAAGAGTTCATATAAATGAGGGTTTGAGGAGAGGGGCTTGGGGCTTGGGATTCACACAGGAGATGGTGGATCCAGAAATATGAGTCCCTTAGAGCATTTGCGGGGTCAGGTTATAGTCGTCTGGGCTTGGAGTGCTGGGGTTAGTTGCCGGCCAGGATGAGAGAGAGAGTGGCAGTCGAGAGTACTTGATCAGGCACTGAGTCGGCGGTGGGGCCCAGGATCTCACAGACCGCCAGAGGAGAGGAGTTCGGGAGCTGGATGGAGAATAGGGGCCCATAAAGGACTCAGGCACGGCAGCGCAGCTCTCTTTATTGCTGCACTCTCTTTAGAACTGCACTACGGGCCCCGCCCCCTGTCTACGCAGTCTCCAGCTGTCACACTACCTCCCGCGCTTGTCTCCGGCTGTCACCGGTATCCCTGGGCTGGCACCGCCCGCTGGCTCTACCCCAGCCGTTTGGATGCTGCCAGTCGCTGAGACAGCTATCTTCCTCCCTTGTTGCTAAAGTGAGAGGATGCGCTCATTGGCTGACGAGGCAAGTTAATTGCAAATTTGGTCCGCCCCTCCCAGCTGTCATTCCTTTCTGATCTTGGGAGCGCTTTAGAATTCCTCAGATCTTTCTATTGACTGCCGATACTGCCTGTCACCGCCCAAATAGACGCCACTGTCTGTCAATTTGACCTCCGCCTATTTCCCTTTCCATTGGCTTCCTTTTTACGGTTCTTGTAGCAAGGCCCGCCTCTTTTCGCGCAGCCCCCGCCTCCTTCCGCAGGCATTCACTCTTCAGCCATCTTTATTGGCCAGGAGGTTCAGCTTCACGCTTTTCTATTAGTTACTTCCTTCTCCTCGCCTCCTGCCTTCACTCGCCCTCTCATTGGTCTGATTGCCCCTACATTACCGTTTCCGCTTTCCAAATTATCCACCCCCTTCCCTCATCCGGCCCCACCCATCCTTCCAACGATTGGCAGAAACCCAGTTTCCTCTCACCTATTATTCGTTTAAGCCCTCTGACGAGGCGGGAGAAAAAAAGGAGCGCAATGGAACTGCTCGCGCGCAGGCGTGAAATGCCGAAACGCGGGCCGCTTAGCCGGCACCGGGGCGAGTGCGCAGGCGCGAGGTCGGCTGCTCGCCCAAAAAGAGAGGGAGGGGCGGCGGCGGGAGAGCGCTAGGAGTTATAGAGGGCGCGAACGAAACCCTCACGCCTGGCGCTCCCGGAACCCTGCCCCGCCTCCGCGCGCCCGGCGGCCATCCGCGCGCCGCTCCCTCCTCTGGCGCGCTCCAGGCCGCGCCCTTCGCCCTCTCGCCTTCCTAGGCGGGCGGTGCGGAGCGGCTTGAAGGCCGGCGCCTTCTGCGGCCGCCCCGGCAGAGGGGATGTGAGGGGCGGCCCGCGGCCATGGAGACGGGCCCGGCGCCCCTAGTGGCCCCGCCGCGCCGCCATGGCGCCTCCGCGGCCCCCTCGCCGCCGCCCCGCAGCTCCCGGGCCGGGCCCTTCGTGATGGTGGCTCAGGGGCCGCCAGTGACCACAGCCACTTCGGCCCCGGTCACTCTCGTGCCCCCTGGGGAGGCGCTGCCAGCCTGGATACCGGGGCCGACCCAGACCTCGGCTCCAGCCGCGGACGCAGCCCCGGCGGTCGCGGGCAGCACGGTGGTGGTGCTGACTCTGGAGGCGTCACCCGAAACCCCGAGAGCACAGGTCTCCCTAGGCCCAGAGCCCCTGGTGCCTGCGGCAGTGGCAGGAGACAAAATGTCGATGGCTCTGGCTCCTGAGGCCGACTCTCTGAAGACGGAGGAAGCTAGAACCTCACCCGCCCCTGGAACAGGTATCCCCACCAGGACCTCTTCCGGAACGGCTCCTGGGGCCCTGTCCGCCAAACCCCCGCTTGCACCCATGCCGGGAACCATAGTGGCCTCAGGAGTGACTGGACGGGTTGCAGCAGTGACAGCCGGACAGGTGACAAGTGGGCATGGAGGTGCAGCATCAACAGCATGGGCTACAGAGAACCCCTCGGGGCCTGGCACAGGCCCTCCCGGGACGTGTGAGGCCCCGGTAGCTGTCGTGACGGTGACCCCAGCTCTAGAGCCTGCTGAAAACTCTCAGGACCTAGGCTCCACGTCCAGCTTGGGACCTGGCATCTCTGGGCCTCGCGGGCAGGCCCCTGACACTCTGAGCTACTTGGACTCCGTAAGCCTCATGTCTGGAACCTTGGAGTCCTTGGCAGATGATGTGAGCTCCATGGGCTCAGACTCGGAGATAAATGGGCTGGCCCTGCGCAAGACGGACAAGTATGGATTTCTTGGGGGCAGCCAGTATTCAGGCAGCCTGTGAGTATGCGGTGGGCACCCAGTAAGAATGCTTTAGGGAAGCAGAGGTTGTGGAAGGAAAAATGATACAACTTTCCCAGGTTTATAATCCAACAAAAAAAAATGATACTCTGGCAGCCAGTCACCTCTTCAGTTTTAGGGGGTGATTGGTGGAGGTAGGATACTTGGTGAGGTTTCTGTGGCACTCTTTAGAGTTTCTGACCAGGTGTCAAGAGTTCTGGGATTGAGTTTCAGCCTTGCCTTTGATGTGTTGTGTGCCCTTGAGCTAGTGTCTTCCCTATATCTGTGAGGTTTCCTTCTCTATAAAGTGAGAGATTGAGTGAGATGATACTTAAGGTTGTCCCAGGTCCTTGATGTGAAAGTACAGCTACAGGCCAGATATTATGGCTGGTTAGCTGGGCAGGGGTTCTGGTAGAGACCTTTGGTCCCATAGGGGTAGAGTCTGGAAGGGACACAGGTGTCTCCCCTACTCCATACCCCTAGGTCT